AAAAAAAACGTATATAATTAAGTAATTAATTGATAACACGTATATGTTGCTATTCTGTTTTTAGTTAATGTTTTTGTATTGATGTATACGTCTTATGTGTCTTCTTTTTGGCTTATAGTGATGTTGAAGTACAAAATCGACGATTACAACGGGAATTGCGACAAAAAGATACAATAATACAAGAATTAAAGCAAAAAGTGACTTTTCTCGAGCGCCGAGTTGTTGAATTAACTGGTGAAGAACTTCCAGTCAAATATGGTAGGCTTACCGTTTCGTGAGAAAATCTTTGCTGTATTAATTTTAATTTTTTTAATCATATAACAGAAGAATATAGATGCTTCAGTTAGTCAGTGGTATGGTATTCCATATATGACAAATGTTGATAACTTTTTCCATGGGATCAAACTGATCATCTCTTTAGTCCATTCTAGCCATATTTTTGATTGCTTCACAATAAAGCATTTCAAACAATTTTCCAGTCTTTATTATTATCAGTATTATTATTTCTTATCAAATTAAAAAGTCAATTATAAATTTATTTTCTAAATTATTAATTTTTAATATTTTATTTTTGGCTGAAGCGCAAAATGTTGCTTTTTCAGGCATTTATATATAAAATTATTCATATATGAAGTCCTTTTCTAGCTAGCATTTATCATCTTTTGCTTGATTCATAATTCTCTTGCATTGTTCATGACTGCGTTCACAAAACCTCTGTTATACTTTTATTTCGTTCATAAAATTACTAATAATAATTTGATGCATATAGTGCAAATAAGAATAAGATGCAGTTATACTTAACGATTCAAATTGTTTGCAGAATTATCAAGACGACAGAATCGGTAAGCTTCTCATAAATGTACTGAATGAAAAAGAAAAGGTTGAAATTGGCTTTATGCATACTTTATTTCTTTTTTTAAGTTTTTATTCTGGAAAATAGGATAAAACAAATACAGTACATCTTGTACTGTATTGTACTGTTTTGGAATGTTTGTTGTGCTATACTGTTTCTAAGTTGAACATTACTGTGCTGTTCTCGAATGTGTATTGCATCCTATTGTTCTCAGTTGTTACTGTGGCATTATCGGATTTATTGTGTATCGCAATGACTATTCCCGAATACGTACAGTAATATGCTTATATCTTTATATCTGCGATCCCAAATTATTTTGGATCGAAATTTTGAATAATTTTTGTAAACAGTGAGCACATTAATATTTTAATGCTTTTCTCGCGTCATGAAAAGATTTAAAAATAAAGTAATTACTATGCTTATTAATCAAATAATTGCTGCATGATTACTTTCACTGTCAAATTTCGACATTTTCTTGCATGTTATTTGCAAATTATTTCCTACAAAGTTACTATTACTTACAAACTATTAATTTGTTGTTGTTAGTTTTTGCTTTCTTTATTCTTGCATCTGTGCTTTGTTTTTTGTCTTTTTTAGAAATTTTTCTCAGTAATTTTATTTAGACAAATAAACTTTTTTAAATTTTAAAAACTTTCGACTTATTAATTTTTATATCAGTTCGCTACAAGTTAGTAACTTGATATTATTGACAAAATTACTGAAGACATGAAAATTACCATGTTTATCAGTAAAGACTATTTTTTATGCTTAGTGCTCTTATTTTTTTGTAGCTAAATTTTTCGGGGGATTTCTTCATTAAAAAAAGATCTCTATGAAAAGTTAGTATCATTCAAATTTTTCTTATTTTTGTAGATATGCTAGTAGAAAACGATTCATTGGCATTACCGGGAGAATCGATAATGCAGACTCTACCTCAGCTGCACTCCCAAACTCTCCAGCAACCGATAACCCACAATCTTCCAGCACTCAACAACAACAACACCACAACGGTAGCACAGTCAGCACCTGCTCTTCCATCAACATTTCGCCTGTCCAACGGGCAAGGAATCAAATTTCGCCGAAATCGTCAAATAACACCGAAAATAATATCAAGACGCAATGGTGAGTTCAGAAGTATTTTAAAAAAAACAAAAAACAAACAAATATTATCAGAATTTTTTTGACATGCTAAAAAATTTCTGTTCTATCACTTCATGTTCTTTTGCACTCCATCTAAAGCTGAAATTTTGACAAATTGAGTTCTTTTTCAAATCATTTTTAACTTGTCATATCATATTCAATTAGTAGTAATATTAAGTTACTTTTTTGTATACTTGTAGATGTTCGGTTCCATAGTAATCCAGCGATACCAGTTACAGAATTGACTGTTGATTATCCATCAAATGAATTACGTCGTTCAATGATAATTCCAGTTAGTGAGCGTAGAAAATTTTTCGAAACTATTGCTGAATATAGTAGTCCATTTTAAGAAATACTGAAATGATAAAAAATTGAACTTGAAGTTTGAAAGATTTTTGACATCAATTGACTGCATGACTAATGTATATTAAATTGAAGCATTCCTTGGTTACCGCATTAATTTTTGTTTTGATAACAAACTAAGAATCATCCATATTCAATTATTATTTGCTACATAGATATATTCATCTTTTTCTAATCCTTACCTTCTTTTTAATACTGATCTACTTTTTGTTCATTGTAATTCCTACTTTATATGTGTGCGTATACGATGTCAGCTCATTTGTAATTAATGAAACGCAACTATTTTAAGTTACATTCTAAATGTTTTAAAATTTGCAGAGTTTCACGGTTTTGTTTTTCATGCAACTTTTCCAACTTAAAATATTGCAAATATGATATCTGCAATGATTTGTTTATATCACTCATTTATTTATAGAATTACGAGTCATAATATTCATTACTGTGCAATAATGTTTTCCTTCATATTGCGTGTTCTCTAGATTACTTAGTCGTTAGGCTTCAAATATTCCTGTAGATTCATTATCCAAATAGTGACCAATTTTTCTCTTATCGTCTGAAATGCAGTTTGAATGACTGTGTCCTTTCTCAGACGAAAAATACTACTGTTCCTCGGCAACAATTCATAATTATACAATTCAGACTCCTTCAATTCTTTCTTCAAATGTAATTTAATTAGGAAGGAAAATGCGAAAAATCATTTAAAATTAGTTTATTGATTTCATTACGATGAGATACAAAAAAATGAACAGCTCTGACTATTGTACTGCAGAACCAGACTTTTCACGTTTCTGCACAGGTTAACCTGCAACACAAACTGCTGTTGAATTCTTCACTTCAACTCTCGATAAACTATTTGTTAAATGTTTGTATGTAGTTCTATAATAAACCAATTTCCGCAATTATGGAACCGATAAATTTATACTTTATATTCAGCATTGTGCGCCAGTATGAAATTTACTAGGGATGATGAAGGTTCTGTATTCTAGGACTCAAATTTGTAACCGCTTGTTTTATTTCAATTAATAGGCAACAAATAATAACTATTTCGGTTTCATATAAAACTAAGTTTTCACTAAACCAGAACTGACAACATAAATGCTGATCTTAAAAATGTACATGGTTGATGAAAAAAAATGTACATGGTTGACCAACTAGAGCAAATTCCAGAATAAACAATGATAAATTTCAGCAACATGAGAATCGAGAGTTATTATTACTTCTCGAAAGACAGGAAGCACATAGGATGCCGACATACTAAAAGTATACAAACAAACGCTTCATCTTCAGAAACTATTTGTTTGCATTTATGGACACATTTTATGGATACTTCATCATCTAGAGTTCCTAGTGAATTCTTGAGATTGTAGTTACTTCACGATGCTCATATACTATTTTTACCAATGAAATACTATCAAAGAATCAATTCCAGCAACCACTAGTAGTAGCTTCCATGGCACTTCTAATCCAATAATTATTTTAACATTAAAAGACTTTGGGAAAGATGAAAGAGATTGTTCTGAAAAAGCTAATCAAATGTGATCGTGTATTATACCAACAATTTTGCTAGGGATATCAGCACGTAGTAATGTAGTATAATAAAAAAGATCAGGAATTCGTAACATATGTCGTGACTACTTATTTTTCATTGCTTTCATGTGGTTCAGAGCTGAACCGGCTTTGAACCACTCGATTTGAGCTGCATTGAAACTATGACTCAGCCAAATCACTTCTTCCGAACCTCTCGCATGCTTTACAATGCATTTCAACGGCTAAAAAACCAAATTTTAGAATTCACAGAACTACTGAAGCAACATTTCACATCTGTGAAAATTTCAAATTTTTTTCAGTCTGTGTTCCAATTTTGAAATACGAAAGACTGAATTTCGGATACATTCATGTTGCTCCAACCCTGAATTACAAGACGATTAAACGATAAGCAGGAATACTTGAGAAAAAGATGTTATCTTATTTTGACTCTCTCCAGTATACTTTGCCTACTAAAAAAACAAAAGTACTACCTTGCCGGGGGCGAAATCTTTCAAACCCATGATCGATACTTTGTCACTCGGTTCAATTCTTTCGTAATCTTTTGGATCAGAAAATGTCAAGGCAAGCATTCCTTGCTTTTTCAAATTTGTTTCTGAAAAAAATCGTTCAGGTTAAAAATCTAACAAAGCACTTGCTTCATTGGCTATTATTTAGGTTGAAGATCACGTCCATCAATTGAAAATACTTCTTAAAGCTTAAATTCCTAAGAAATTCAAAAGAATGATTTTTATGCAAATACATTCGACACAAAAATCATAAGAATAAATCGAAGAAAATTTAAAAGGAATACAATAAATTACAGCTGCTCACTAGAGACACTGTTGTTTACTTAAGCAGTTAATAAAAGATGATAAACTTGCTTCTACTACTACCATATTAAAAACAACCTTTAATTACTAGTTTATTCTTGATATAAAAAAGTCAAGAAAATCTTATTTACCGTGAATACGAGCAAAACTTCTCACGATAATAGCACGTCCACCAAGATGCCGAGGTTCCAAGGCTGCATGTTCCCGGGACGAGCCTTCACCATAATTTTCATCACCAATTGCTACCCAAGACACTCCTTTATCTTTGTAATAACGTGCTGTTCGAGGTACTGTATCATACTTGCCAGTCAAATAGTTACATACCTATTACAAATAATAATTTTCAGTTAACGAGAAATGCAATACGCAAAATCTGTTGGTCCGTATTCTCACAAATGAAACCGATAAAACAGCAATATTTGAATAAGAAAATGCCAAAAATATCAAATAAATAAAAACTTACTTTATTCATAGTACCATTTTCTGCATTAACAGCAGTTAAGAATAAATTATTTGAGATATTATCCAAATGACCACGAAATTTAAGCCACGGTCCAGCAGCACTAATATGATCCGTTGTACATTTTCCTCTAACCTTAAAGCAGAAAAACTGTTACACACTAATGCACTGGAATGCCTCCAAATGTTGTCATATCACAGACCTCATTCAATGTGAATCTATTATAGAAGTCATAATTGCTAGCCTTTGACTTACTTTGATTAATATTAACATATCTTCCAGATCCTTACCATCCCAAGGACTAAATGGCTTTAAAAGTTGTAGCCGTTCACTACTATCATTGATAACAACAGTTCCTTCTCCTGATGAAGCCTGATAATAATTTTTACCAGGATCAAAACCTTTTGAAGGAATACATATGCCAGATGGAGGTTGTAGTTTGAAAGTGTCCCCTAAACTTCATAGATTATTTAAGTCACCTATGTCAGATGTACTACTGGTCCCATAAAATTCAGTCTGTGAGAGCTTTCAACTTTGTCATTCCAAGTCAAAGCAAAGAAAATCTCTGAGACAAATAGTTTACAGAAACATTGCTAAATGAAATTACGATGGAACTGGAAAGATAAGTGATCAATAAAATTGTCATATGATGGTGTCCACTACCTTAACTTGACAGTAAAATTACCGCTGGGTGTTTCGAGTTCATCAGTGCGTGGATCAAAATCGAGACGCCCCACTATAGACAAAGCTGTAACCAATTCAGGTGAAGAAACAAATGCATGAGTAGCTGGATTAGCATCATTCCGACCAGTAAAGTTACGATTATATGATGTTACTATTGTATTCTTTTCACCTTAAAATGAAATTTCACTTATAATAGCTCATGTTATCTGGCAACTTGAGAATGAACGTGTTCTAATTTTATTCTGATCTGAAATGAAGAAAAAAGGAAGACAGCATTAAGATTTATCTTTTTGATATCTCTTCTATCCCATTGACCAATGCATGGACCGCAGGCATTTGCAAGCACGATTCCACCAAATGTTCTGAAAATATTTACCAAACCATCTCTTTCCATGGTTGCTCGAATTTGTTCGCTTCCAGGTGTTATGACAAATTTCGATTTTGCTTTAAGCCCTCTATCAATCGCCTGAAAGCAGCATTTGATTCGAAAAATTCCAATCAATCATTCGCATTCAAAACCTTTTACTAAGTGCTTGGGAGTGAAAACAAATCCTAATTTTAAATTAACAGCTTGCCTGTTTTGCAATACTCGCCGCACGTGTCATGTCTTCATAGGAACTGTTTGTGCACGAGCCGATAAGAGCAACTTTAATGTCCAGTGGCCAACTATTAGCTTTAGCGTTCTTTCCGAGCATATCAATAGGATGAGCTAAGTCAGGGGTGAATGGTCCATTGACATGTGGTGCTAAGGTGCTCAGATTTATTTCAATAACCTAATAATAGATAATGTTCATGGCGATTCCTATATTTACAGAAAGCACTTTTAATTTCTCGCTGAAAAAAGAACTAACTACAGACTTTCAGAATTCATTTTTTTACTGAATTTTTAAATTTCAAACAATCAAAAATAAAAACATTTTTAGAGCTGTATTTAAAACTTTTAATGATGTTACTTTTAAAAGAAGCTTGAAAGGATTTCTCAAAACCAAAACATGCTCGCTTTTATGAATATTTTATATTCCAGGAAACTCTGCAAGCATATTCAAACAAATCATGAACTAATAGGACAAATAATTAGAAGAAGAATGCATTATTATCTTAACATTCTCACCTTATCATATTCAGCACCTTTATCTGACGTTAACACTTCTTTGTAACATAGAGCTTCGTTTGCAATCGCTTCTCGATTAGTTGCCTTCAAATAATGTACCATACTGTCATTAAATGGAAATATGGATGTTGTTGCACCTATTTCTGCACCCATATTACAAATTGTACCCATGCCAGTTGCTGAGATTGAATCAACGCCAGGCCCTAAATTCGTACTGATAACAGATTGTGTGTTTATGACATATACAGCTATGGAACATTTTTGAAGTAAAAATCTTTGAATGGGATCAATATTATATAATTCAAAAAATACCGAAATATTCTATGATAGCACCAGTACCGCCTTTAACAGTAAGTATATCAGCTACTTTCAAGATGACATCTTTACTAGATGTCCACCCTGACAGTTCACCAGTTAATTTTACACCAATTACCTAAAAGTTTAAAGTATTTCAGTACAAAAGTCAAGATAATAGTTATTTCATTTTAAAACTTGTGAAATAACCTGCGGACATTTCAATTCCCAAGGAATATCTGCCATGACATCAACGGCATCAGCACCACCAACACCAATGCACAAACCCCCCAAGCCTCCTGTAAACTTATTTTACACATTACTTAAATATCATTAACTTAAAAATCATCTGCCAAAGCATAATTTTTGGGCTATTAGAGGTGTGGACTCGAAAAAACAATGCTAAACCAAACAGCTTGCTATTGCTTTGTTTTTTTAGTGAATTAAACTTTTAACAAATCAATATACCTCCCATCGGTGTGTGACTGTCGGTACCGATCAATAAAAGACCTGGAAAGGCATAGTTTTCTAAGATAATTTGATGAATAATGCCACTTCCTGGCTTCCAGAATCCAACACCATATTTATTGCTTGCTGATGATAAAAAGTCGTATACCTACGATGAACAGACGTATAATGAGAGAAAAAAAAGGCATTGCCTAATTCAATATCAATTTCGCTTTCAGATGAAATATAAAATAATGACGAAAAATGTTCGTCAAAAAAGATTTATTATTAAATAAAAGACCGTTCAAAAAATTGAGCCACTGAAAGAAAATATTTTAAAAATTTGTACTGTTTTATAAAGAGCGATTTTAAGAATTAACTTGAATGTGAGAATTATATAATTATTAATTAATAAATCCATGATAAATATATATGAAAAAAAACATTAAAACAAATGATAAAAATTTTAAAAAATAAGAAATTATTTCTCACAATAAAAGTTCTCACTTTGACTGATATTTAAAAAAGTATCACTCAGTCATCAGATAATGATTTCAGTGCAATATTTTTGTAAAGTGATATCTAAATAAACCTCTTTATTGATATCTTGCGCACGTTTCAAATCTTCATCGCCTCCTAATTGGGCCTGAATCAAATGATCACAATGAATTGTAGATGGCACTGCGACTTGAGGAAGTCCTGATGAAATGAACTGTAACATGGCCATCTGGAACAAAATAATATAATCATATTAAAAATTACATTCCGACATCATAGAAGCATTTATTTCACAGAGAAACAAAAGGTAATGAATCCGTTATCAATTCTGAGAAAAAATAATTTACTAAAAATATTCATGCAGATGAATTAATATCCAGACTACTATATGTATCAATAAATCTATATTCAAGGAAAAATTAAGGACCTGTGCAGTAGCATCTTGCATAGCCACCCGATCCGGCCTGAGTCGCAAATATGAAATGCCTCGTTTGATATCCTGCTTTTCTGGTTCATCCAAGTGTCCGTATAATATTTTCTCAGATAATGTAAGAGGTCGCTTCAGTCTGAAATATTTGTGACGATTTTGGAATTTCACTTTACATTTCATACAAAGCTCACTGAAAAAAATTAACCTTTGTCGAATAATATTCACATTCCTGCTTAATTTTTCATATGGCAATAGAACATCTTCAATGTTATTCATTCTAACTCCTGCAAAATGAGGTCGAGAAAAATGCGACCAACACTTTTTGGTATGAAATATTTTCGGCACTCGAATTTTAGCTCCACGCATCGCCATTCTTTTCTGCAAAAATTCGTGCACTAAATTTTATTGCTAGCTTTTTTATAAGAAAACAAAATCGTATTCAATTTATGTCCTTTAAAGCGATGATAAATTACAAATTTATGAAGAAGTTATTTCCCATAGCTAGCTTTTTCATTCAATGTTTAAATCTTTTACCAATTTAAGCTTGTCATTTCGATGCTTTTGATGAATCCTATCGCACTCTTTTTACTTTTATCAGTTTAAGTCAAAGTTTTTTGTTCGCTACCTAAGTTCGATGAAGATTTTAGCATGGCATAATGTTGATGTCATTACTACTTTTTGTTTGTCAATATAGCATTACGTCAAAATTTTTTCATTTCTTATATGCTACAAATTTTCAAGCTGTCTTGATAATATATGGTATTCCAAACACGAAATATAACAAACAAATTAAAACAAAATAAATTTATTGTACATCGAAATCTTTACTCTAATTAGGAATTATGCATTACATCTTAATTCTTACAAAGAACATAATTAAAAAATCTAATTAAAACATTCCTTCGCATTGGCTAATTCAGTATTAGTTTCGCTCTAAGATAAAGCAATATAAAACAATGACGAAAAATGTTTATTATTCAATAAAAGCTGTTCAAAAAATTGAGCCATTGAAAGAAAACATTTTAAAAATATTGTATTGTTTTGTAAAGAGCGACTATAAGAATTAATTTGAATGTAAGAATTAAATAATTATTACTCAATATATTTACAATAAATATATATGAAAAACATTGAAATAAATGAAAAATTTCTAAAAAATTATTAATTATACTTTTTTTAAAATCAATAACGATAAATTAATTTCCCACACATTAAAATAATTTCCCACATCCTATGAGCAAAAAATAATTAACAGATAAATATTAATTGAGCTGACTGTACTCGACACGACGACATATGAATTCACCTCGCATAACACTTGCGCTACATCAGTACAACAACGTCAATCGAATAAAGCACGTACAGAATCCTCAAGACAGAAGATACCTGCAAACAATATTTCACGGACCCTCTCTCTATATCTTCAATGAAATATGTTATCCTATTTTTCTTTCTCTATCTCTCGACTGCAACTTTCTCTTTACTCTCTCTTTTGTCAATCTTTGACTAAGAAGGCGAAAATTATCTTTCTACCTCTATTCTTCTCTCATTGATATTACATAATAATTGGGTGGCCTTTGACCCATAATTTGACTCTGTAACATTTTATTATTTGTATTCAATAGCTTTCTTGAATTTTTGCGCCTAAAATTGATTCTGATTTTAGTTTGGTTCTTAGTAATCGATATAATTGAGAATAAATATGAATAATTGTTTTTAAATTGGGGTCAACTCTATATTAATGTTGCGGTAAGATTTATGCACGTAATGAATACATTTTTCAGTACTCTCGAGATACTGCGGTAGTATATATCATTATCTTGCTTTACTTCACTGGATATGCAACAACACGTAAAAATATTGATTTGTCCTTAATTTTTCATTAAACGTAATCAATATTTTCAGTGTTGTTGCACGTTTCCTTCTCTTTTAATGACTACGGATCTGATCAATATTCTCAGTGTTTTCAGATTTACTAAAAACTTTATGTATATTCATTGCAGCATTTTGAACTTGCATTATTTTGCTCGTCTTTTATATCTCCGACCTGAAACTTAGTAAATTTGGTTTTCCGTAAGTTTCAAATATCCAATCGCAAACAGAATATAAGCCTGACATAACTACAAGGATTACGGCATTTCCGGAATAAGTCAATTTTGCCGTGCTTGTAATTATTTGCGTTTGTAAAATTGGAATTAAAGAGTTTTATACGCTAAAATCCATGTTGCTTTGTTTGCATCCAAGTTTAACAAGTGATTTTATGATGTATTTAAACAACAACTCTGACAATTTATGAAAAGTTTATACAGCATTTTATTAATACCACATGATATCACTATATAATTGCAGTAAGAAATTAAATGGTTTTTATTAAAAGATTATACAAAAAAATAAGTGATATTAGCAAAAGTGTGTATCATTTTTATTAAATTAACGCAGAATAAACATTATCGCGCCAAAAACTGCGTTGGATTTGTCAATAATGTAGTCATAATTTATTTGCACACTTATTCATTAGCGAAGCATTTCAAAAAATTGCAAATATTATTGAAACTGAGGTTTAAGTCTTGCTGATACTTTGAACATATTTACACTTTGCTTAGTGCTATCAAATTTAAGACATAATTAAATAAATGCAACATTTTTTCCTAAATTTTATAAAAAGTAATTGCAAAAGTTTGTAAGCTTTGTCATTTTATTACGAAAACAGTAAAAAATAAACAAATTGAGCAGTGAAATGCAACGTTAACAACAGACTTCGTCTCTGATTTCTTCCTGAAAAGAATTAGATTAAGTTTGAGCTGTAAAAGTGAAATGGTTGCAAGCTTTGTTATTTATCTCAAGAACTAGTTGTGCCAACAAGGTCAAACTTTAGATAATTAGACACTCTTTGCTACAGGTCAAAGCATAATAAGTTCTTCTACAAACAGCTATTTAGAGGAGAGGAAACCTTAAAATTTGATTGCTAAAGAAAAACGTGAACAGCTACATTATTTGTATATGAGTAAAAACTGTTAAATTTCGGAAATAATTAAATAGAACTAACCAATAGCTGAAGTGTATGGTCTCGCTACCTCTGAAATCAGATAAATTATAATTCGAAAGAAAGCTTTACATATTTAATTTTTTGACGGAACGTTCAGTTTTTGTTAATTCAGCTACGTAGTATTTTTAAGTTGAAATTATTAGTTGTGATGTAATAAGTAATAAGTCATTTCAGCAATTGCGTGCTTAATTTGTACTCTGTATAAGTATTAGATTATTCATTTTTATAAATTCAAGTATGCAATTTTAGCATCAAGTATTTGAGCGAATACAATGTGAAATAATAATTTAATAGGCTAACTATGTTTAACTCGGAGAAAATTTGTTTAGTGCTTAACAGTCTGTTAAAATATTTGAATAATTATCTAAAACTAAAGTTTCTCTCAGCAGTGCAATAAATTGGCAATTTTTAACAAGATTGCTTTTACATTTCCTTCATAATCTAATTCAGTATTTTTCATAATTTGCATTAAACTTAACGGAAAGTATTTGAATCTCTTTTTTTTTGTATTTTCAGGAGACACTACTTCTGATTCTGTATACTTTTGTAGTAATCTGTTTAATCAAACTTTTAATTTTTTGAATTAATTTTCTATAAATAATTAATTTAACTAATCAAAGACCAAAAACAAAAGTGATTCTTAAGTAATTTTGTGTATGATTGCATGCAGCATGCAAAAACTTAAAACAATTCACCATTGTTCATATTAGCATCGTCATCATCATATGCACGTGCATCATTTTCACGTGAGTAATATTCAGAAATCGGACTTTTAGTAAGAGTTGATGAAGAATGAAAAGAATGCAAATTATTAGACTTTCGTTGAATTTGATGTTCTTTTTCCAGTTTTAGCGTTGAATAAGTTGGCAAATTTTGTAAATTATAAGAAGATATGGATGTAGAATATTCCTTGTTTTTGTTATTGTCAATGTCAATATTATTTACACTGTCACCGTCATGATCATCTTCATCATCATTATCATCATCGCCATCATCATCATCATCCGGTGATCCGGAACCTGTAAACAAGGCAAGTGCTGATGTCACAAAAGGCATCATGGACGAGGGCGCAAAAGTGCAGTGGTAAAATAGTGTAAAATATGACTAAAAGAATTTGAAATTTGATTTATTCAGAATATTTGCATAAGTTTTGGAGATAGAATTGAAAATTTTATCGTCTTTTGACAAGGAATTTGAATTTTGGCAAGAAAATATGGCTATCGATGAGTCAAATGTGACAAGAAAATTTCCATAGAACAAAAGTAAATCTCTTAATTAAAGTTTGGCTTTTAATTTAGTCTTGTTTTTGATATGTATTTTTTTTCAAAGTATATCTACAAAAGCTTATGTAATATTAGTTCCATATTTTAACTTAATTTTTTTTCAATCAAACTGTTAATTTTTTAAATGTATTTTTTCATAAATAATTAATGTAAATAATTAAAAACCAAAAACAAAAGTGATTACATTTCTGTATTTTAGTTTGAATCTCAATAAGATATTTGTATGTAAACTATGTTGTATTGTAAAATTAGCATATTTAGTAATTTCAGCCGATCGCACTCTCATACATTTATTAACCTGCCAAATCACTGCAAACAAAACAAATTACAATAAAAGGAATGCTGTAGAAATCCATGCAAAATTATAAAAACTGGAAAAATTATCCTCAAAAATTTTTTACTTTCAACAATTTTTTAGTTCTTAGTAATAATTTTCGTAGCTAAATGATGAAACGAATTGAGCCTGCATAATTCAGGCACAGTTTCAATTCGAATTGACTAATAAATTTCTTGATGATTTTTAAGTATTATCAAAAAAAAGGATTAATCAAGTTTATCATTTTTACTGATGTTAGTAATATTTAGTCAAATTAATGCATGCTTACTTAATAAATTATCATTTTTGAATTAATTGGCAGATTTTTAATGGTATTTTATATTCAAAATCCAAGTCCTTTGAGTTTCGCTTACTTTATGCATCTTAAAAATAATATAAAATCAACTAAATCAGATTTAATTTCACGAATTTATATTTCACTGCAAATATTTGATACGTTTGGCTTGAATTCTGAGAAAAGTTGGAATAATAAATAATTAAATACTGAAAGATATATGACAATTTACTTGTAACAAAACTGGTAATGAGCACTGTTTTTAGACAGTCTTATCATTAATATTAGTTATAATGTTAAACTTCAAAAATTATACAATCATCTAAGCTTTGAATTTATTAGAAGACCAAATAATTATTATATAGTTATGAAAGTTAACTTCAAGTATTAACCTTCAGTGAGTACATCTGATGACTTCTTATCCATCAACTCTCCTGAAAAATTTCAACTCTTGAATACATAATAAATCAACTTATCATTAAAAATAACCTTTAAAAAAGATTCCCTGAATAAAATTTTTCATTATATGATAAAGATTTTTTAAGACTACCTAAATATAATTCGAACCACTAACCTAGTTTATAAGCTCAACAGACAGAAATTGCATTGTAATTATTTAATTCTTGCAACAGAATCTGCACAAAATAAAATGATCTGTATTTTGTTAATTATCTTTGCATAATTAACGTTTTGATTTTGATAATAAATCAAAAAAAGTTCCGTAAATGTGAAATTTACAAAATTTTGTGTAATTGAAAATCTAATAAAACTGAAAATTAAATAGCAAATTAGAAAAATTTTTTACTTTGTAAAGTAATATCAGCAGAATGTTCGCCATTGTCATTTTGAGCAATACATCGATACTTACCAAATTCACTCTTGCCAACATTTTTGATTACTAACACATGAATGCTTCGATATTTTTCTGACATTTGATTAGACTAAAATGAATTGACTTTCCAAATTTAACACTTTGAATAAGTATTTGAATTTTGCACACACCAAAATAAGCATTAATTATTAATTAATTTATGACAAAATTTTAGTAAAAGATTTTTTTTATTTAAAAAAATTTTCATACCTTCAAATATACTTATCTAGTTGTTAGAGAAATTTTTAAGACTATTTGCTTAATTGTAATTCATTCTTTTGTATCACAAAAATGAATAAATTATTTTTACGAGAGAAAATATTGACGAATCGGATATTTTACGTCCGTCTTTTTCCCAGTGCACAACGGGTTTTGGCCAAGCTTCAACGTTACAAATTAAACTTATCTGTCCTCCAAGGGCTACTTGAACGTTTTCAGCTTGTGGTACTACAAGAGGTACAACTGAAATTAAATACAAAAATAATTTTTAATTATGAGCTTTTTCCAATAAAGAATGTATTAAACTTTTCATTAGTTTTTTAAAACTCTTCAAAATATATTTTTTTAAATTTAATCACTTTTTTTTGTGAAATTTCTTCGATGAATTTATTGCCTGCCGAAAAATATTTCTAAACAAATTTTTTAATTTTATTTTCAACTCAAAAGCAATCATTTCCAAGTTATTAACGTTGAACAGCTTTTGATTTTATGCACTGAAATTTTGTATCACAAAATCGAGCTGAGTAAGTTGCTTTCAATCAGGACAATTCTTTAAAATATAGAATCTTTTGTCTGAATTATTAAATACAAATTTTGATGGATTCTAATGTGACTACTAAATAACAACTAATTTTTATCTTTCAATATTTCATCCATTTACATAATTCTAACAAAATTTTTGAAAATAATTTATATGGAGGTCAGTCATAAATGATTTTAGTGTGAGATTTAGAGTGAATTCCAAATTCATGCTTTAGAATCTTACAAGTAACGTATAACTTGACACTCCATGACTCATCTGGTGGTATACCATTACTTGCGACGCATACATATTCACTCATATGTTTGCGATTAACCTTTGTTATTGTCAGATCTGATCCATTAAATATACTTGCTGAAAAAGATTAATGATTATCAGTTTGTTCCTTTGATCTTTTGCTTTTTATTATCGATAATTTATGACTAACCTCCATATCCGGTAGCTCCATTAAATCGGATTATCTGTCGATCTTGTCTCCTCCAAATTACAGTTGGAGGTGGATCACCGAATGCTCGACAAGACAAGGTTACGTTGTGCCCTTCTCGTACCTCTACAACTGATGCCGTCGTTCGAGCTACATAAGGTGGAACTATAAACTTTCATGAATAAATAACTCTCAATTAAATATTATAAAGAAAAAATTATTCTGGTAGAAATTTTGCAAAGTAAAGATCCTTACAACGCTTATTCCACTATCATAAAGTTAAAAACTAATAATATAGAACTCATTTTACTGTCATTGCATAGAATTATTTGAAGATTTTTTATTAATACAATGCAGTGAACGAATGAAAATAAGTACAATCACGTAAAAGTTTTCATTATAATTTTTGTTGATTGTCTTCTATTTTTTCCGATTCAGATGCTATCTCACAGATTCAGTACAAAAACGTAGTGCTGCCATTAATTGCACATTACTATTAAAAACCCTTCAACTTTCATACAAAAGGTCTCACAAATTAAGTAAGGTAAGCAATTTTCTTACAAGTCACTTTTATTTAAATATGCAAACTTAATAATATTTTATATTATTAAAAAAAAACAAAAAGGTACGTACGACTTATAGAAAATTAATTACTTAACTTACTTATCTTGTGTGGTAGCTCAAGAATTCAATTCTTGATTGTATGCTTTTTTTGTAGCAAACCCCAATATGTTTGTTTCTTTCAATTATCAATTAGAACTAATTTAGTTTCAAGTATTTGTGCAAGCAACAGGTGTTATTTGAATACAACTTGTCTTTGGTAACTTTTCCACCTGTCCTTATACCCTTCTATGGAAGGCATTTATATAACTTTTCCTGACAATAAGTTAAATTTTGTGAGTTTGAAAGATTCTATTAAGTAAAATAAATAACTCATAAAATAAGTCACAAAGAGTATAAATTTGATTTATGCCCAATTTTGATATTAATTATTGCCAATTTTTTTTATCTTTGTAAAAAATTACATTTTTGTTTTTTCTTCTGAATATTTGCATTATAATTAAATTTTTAAATATCAAATTATTATCATTTTTGGTATTCATTTAGTTTTCACTTTACGATAATAATTTAAATTCTATTTTGATTAGTTGTTACAAATTTTATCATAATTTGAATACTTAAAATAACTGATTTGCGAATTTGTCAAGTTATATGAGTACTTTTATGCTTTATATTGCAACCTTTGACCTTTCATGAAAATTTTATTCAGTTCAAATGTGTTAATCTTTCAGGACTAATTGTGAATGAATAAGATGCGAAGCCCTTAACAATACTGAAATGACCTTTAGGCTTACAGTTTCTATTTACATTCTTGTTGATTACTTCGGTAAACTAACTTGTACTACTACAGACTTCTCTGAGTAAATCATAAAAAAAAATAAAGAAATAACTCCGAAGTAATCTTCAATGATTCTCACGACTTTTCGGGGTGAGAAAAGAATTATTCAGTCAATTCTCAGATTTAAGTCAGTAAACAATGAATCAAAAGCAATAAATATCAACAAAATGAATTAATTAAAGCATAAATAAGTTAGCTAATGGATTGTTAAGTAAAGTAAGGCCTAATCTAAGCTTTCCTGACTGAAAATAAGACGATCTTCTTCAAATCTGAGAAAGCTTAAATTGTCAAGATTGACCTCTTTTCTTCTAAGCTTGACCCTTTTATTTACTCACAAAATTAATCCTAATCTTTTTCTATTGCAGACTACGAATATTATACAGTCTATAAACAATATTTAAAACATTGTAAACAAAGATAAACTTGCCTTTAAGATGAAGGTAACCAGTTTTGGAAATTACCGGATCAGTATTCAGTTGACAAGTATAACCACCTATGTCATTTTCCTGCAGTGCACTAATTCAAAAATTTGTAGAACTAACAAAAAAATTATAAACTTTTTTAAGAGCAAAAATTAGATTACTTTTTTACAGCTTAACTACAAGCATTAATGCGAAAGCTTTCAAATGAACTTTCGATAAATAATATTAATAATATACAGTCTGACCTGAACATTCTTTACCACCAAAATGCGTATATTATCTTTTGCAGATAATTTAATTTCATACTTTGTACGCTGCCGAAATACCTTAAAGACATTTTTTATAACTGACTGAGATCAAATTATGACCTTTTAGTGAATAGAGATATCATATCTAGTAAACCTGATAATCACTGTCAAAAATTGATATTTCTAGTAAGTATCGCTAGGACTGAACATACGTAGGTCATAAAAACCCGCTGGATATATGTTATCAAAAAATAACAATTGTTAAATCATACTTTTTCATCAAATGCGATTAACCTCGGTGGAGTACCTGCTCGTACGAATGCAATCTGAAAATTGGAATCAGAAAATCGCCCAAACTGTTAAATTAACAATCATTAAAGTTTTCATTTTATTAAGTCAATTTCTCATAAATTTATTATCTTTTTATTCCGTAAAATGTTCACACAGAAAAGTAATCATAAAGTGATTGCATTCATCGATACGAAGAATAAATTTATGTAATCTAATTCAATCATCAAAAACTTTCAGAGCAAAATTTGCGAATTTTTCCAATAAAAAATTAGTCGTTGGTCAAAATTGGCAAAAACAATGATAAATTCTATTGCAAATTTATTAGATACATTGATTTTAAGTTATGATTTTGAAGGTTTGTACACTTTTAAGCATTATTAAAAATATTAAAAATTAACAAAACATCCACCAACAGCCTTTACTCTTCAAAATTTGAAAAAAGGATCAAATAACTTTTTTAATAATTGATTCTAAATTTTTAAATTTTTTGCTTTCTTTTAACTTCATATCTTTCAAGAGTAATATTAGAAATAATTTGATCTATAAGTACTACCATATGCTTTCCAAGTTTGGCAACTCGACACATGAACTCAACATCTTGACCTTTGACAGCGGTAACATTTTCCATTAATGGTTCCATGAATATAGGAATTAATTTTCTGCTCCATGCTTTAAATGAATCAACAAATCATACTGAACTTGAAATATTTTTGAATTATTTTAAACAAAAAATTACTAAAATGAAAGCATTGAAGTTATTAGTAATTGAAGTTGAGACTGCATTTATAGCTAAATATTAAATATTCACACTATTTTTAGTAGTAAATGGTAAAGTTAGCTTTTTAGCAATAGTAAGAATGTCTTTAAACAGATCATTAAATTTGCTTATGCAATTCTTCACAATCCTCCCAACTAACTTCCTCTTGATGGAATAACAAGGAATGGCAGTCAATTAAATTGGATCGAATTGAATTTTTTTATTAGATTTTCGTTAAAATTGCGAAAATCGATCAAGGCAATATCCAAATGCAAACTTTTGCATTTATTTATTTATTTATTTGTTTATTTAATTATTTATGTATTAATTAATTAATTA